TAGCCACTGGGGGCCGGCCTGGGACCGTGCACCGGGCACTGGGTCTGGTGCCATGGACGGCGGCCTTCTGTGCCTCTAATAGCAGCCATAGCCCTCGGCTGAGCAGGGCGTCTCGTAAGAGGCTTTCCCAGCTGATCCTGCGATCTGCTCGGGGACGAACAGGAGCCCGGCATCTCGGGGCACAGAGGGCGCGGCAGCCGTGAGGCTCCGCCAGGCTCTGCTGCATCGGCAGTTGTGACATCCGGGGCCGGCAGCCCAGCCTCCTGAGCCTGTTTCTCCTCTCCGGGCTGGGGATGCTGAGGGCACCAGGTCCTCGTGGGGGTGGGAGATGTGCCCCGACCCCACCGTGCCCGACCTCCCAGAGGTGGGGGTGGGCCTGGGTGGCGGGGCCGCTGGAATCATTGTGGAGTGGGGCAAGCAGAGCTGCTGGAGGGGGTCTGGGACTGTGTGTGCCTCCGGAGGCAAGGCAGACGGACAGGAATGCGGTGACCGGGCTGTGGGGTGCAGGACGGCCCCACGCCATGGCGGGAGCTCCCTAGACGCTCTTGCTTCCATCCTGCACCCGGAAGGCTGCCCCTCCAGGTGGGAGGACCGCAGAGCCAGCATGCTCTCTGATGGTGGTTCTGAGGCCTGTTTCCAGTTGTTTCCATAGATACCAGGTACTGGAGAGGAATGGGCTAAGCGATTTTCACTCTGCTTTTTACTCTGCTTTGAAAGCCCCGCCGCTGGGCCTCCCCCGCCTTCTGCAGCTGGTCACACCTCTCAGAGCTGCTCAGATGCATCAGGGATTGGTCTGCGCTCTTTTTCATTGACATCCATCCTGTGAATACAGATCAGGGGTTACCTGAATTTTGGAAAGGATATTTTCAGTACATGTTCCCCAAATAGCCACTGGGCAGCTGGCACCAGTGAACTGGGTCCTGAGCTGTGTGTGTGGGCGGTGCTCCTCAGCATGAGGGAATGCCCGCTTAGGAGGCAGTGACCATGGATGCCTTGTGTGGTGGCACCCCACTGCCCTACTAAAGGGAGAATGGCACACCTACACTTTTGGGGAGCAAGACACGGCAACCAAAATCTCCACGCAGTTTGTGCAACGCATACAAGTCTGTGAGATCGTCATTGTTATTCTCTTTTCTTACGAATTAGGAAACAGACTCGGGTTTATGTTGCTTGAGGTTACATGGAGCTGGTAGATTCTCTGATTGATGGGTTTATCCATTCATTCAGCAAAGAGCTATCTATCGACCATCCATTCTGCACCAGGTGCCATGCTAAGTGCTGGGAACCAAATATAAGTCACACTTGATCCCTGATTTTAGACACTTCTAGTCTGATGTGGGTGGGGGACCCGGGTCGGTCACCGGCCCC